TGACTTCATTTGAAAAATGCAGCAATTATTTTAAATTAGTAGAATAGATGCTGAGATAAATAAGTGTAAAAGGGAAAGTCCATAAAGTGAAACCCAAGGATGTTCAAGATAATTAAACACAGTACAAAAGTACATAATACATATTTTAAAGTTTAAAAAGGTTTAAGAGATTTGAGTCTTGTTTTTTTATATTAAGAGTTTCTGGTTTTAAAATGTCATCATTAGTAAGAGAAATAAGTAATCTTTATTTATATAGCGCATGTGGGAAAACCCAGAGCGCTTCAAAATTGTTTTGACTTTAGGGAGAAAAACAATCTCATTCACATACTGATACTGTATCTGTTGTTTTTAAATTGGCCGTCTCAAGGATTGTTTTTCAGACTCTGCCTCACTGTACGAGAGGTCACTGCTGGACACTGGACAGCGCAAAGCCCACCCAGCCACAGGTCACAGATCAAAGAGCAAAGGGAAATGCCACCTCCTTGCCCCTCCCCCCACTACAGAAGTAAGTGGGAGTGAGACCGGGGCCATGAAAGAGAGGTAACTGGAGACGTGATGGGTGGAGCGTCAGGTAGAGACCTGAGGGAGTTTGAAAGTGTGTCCACGTGGTTTATATCACCACAGTGTGACCTTTGACACCTACAGGTGGTTCGAGGAGTCTGGAGACAAACCCCAAAATTCATACACACACACACACACACACACATACACACACACACACACACACACATTCACATTTACATATAGATACATGAAAAAGTAGAACATGAGAAAAAGCATTTTAAAAGTTTACTCCAATGTAAACACATTTTTTTAATTGTCTATCACTTGAATCTGTAGTTGAATCTGTATTTTTTGAGACCAGAAATGTTCATTTGAATCCTATATTGTCATGGACTTAATTGACGTCTGTCCTGACACTTTTGATTTGTTGATTTTGTACTGTGTGAAGTAATTACATTGATTAGAATTAGATCTGATAAAAACACAAATTAGAGAAGTAAACTGAATCATTGCGCTTGCTTTTGTCTGAGGGACATTAGCAACAGCATGAATAGAAATTGTGTTAAAGTAGAATCAAAGTGATTTAACCATAGAGAGTAACTACTGCATAACAAGCTGTGTACAGGAACTGTGACACTGCACCATTGACCAGAAGTGCATCGCAAATGACCTGATGTGCTTCAACTGAAAAGACTGTATCTGGAGATCCTGATGTGCATCTGGAGAGACCAAAACCATGGCTTGGACCCTACTGATGTCCAAGATGACATCTCTCTATGACCTGACCTGATGACGACTGAGACTCACCCTCAGGGGACCTGAGGACCTGAGGACCTGAGAGAGAAAACTGGGGAGTGATGTTTATATTTTTGAAATCATACATTGATGAGTGCTAAATGAGAGAGATACTCATGATTCTTTCTTTTGTTTGTGTTTGTCCCTAGCTTCTGGATATCTGATGATCTATTGGACACAGCCATTTGCAGAACAAGAACCAGCCAATGAAAAACGTCTATTGCTGATGCTATTGCTACAACCAGGACCACAACTGTGACAAATGCAATATACATGTTAAGTATTCAGACATCTGACAGACAAAAACTTAAAATGATAAAGTATAAGTATTGTAGCGTTTTAGTAGATGTTAAATAGTAGTAAAAGAGTAGAATTTGACTTCCTTTGTTTTTCATAAACATTTCCACATAAGAGTTAAAATAGTACCCTACAATGTTATCCTTTTGATAGATCAGCTATAATATTAGAATCAGAATTATGTTACAGATATTGAAAGTGACAGAAGTCACAAACTAGAAATATGCCTTTGCTCAAACTGCAGCCGAGCTTTGGAGTCACAGTAGAGTAAAAATAGAGAAATAGATAAATGCATCTACCATAGATTCTTTCAAAAATAGAGAATATTTCTAGCCAGTGCTAATATCAAATGGTAAAGGGACCATTTCACAAGCATTTACTTCAAAAGTAGATAAAGTTAATTACAGTTTATGTACAGTTTTATTAGATACTTGCCAAATTCACTTGTGTTCAAACATCTGTGAATGTTGACAATGCAAAAAGTTCATATGAGTGTAGTCTAGATTAATGAGATAGATTAGCACCAACAGAGATTCAAAAGCATTTAAAAGCATTTTGATGTATTTGTGTATAGCACAAAAACAAAATAGTAGATATTTAGATATTGAGAAGTTTCCAGCACAAACACCATTGTAGAATAACTGACCCCAACCCCAAACCTCATTAGCTACTATTAGGATAATACTAATTTGATTAATGATGTACATTCATCCCAAACTGCCTGACAATAATATCTTTAGATAATAAAAAGTAATAAATCACTGACCACTATAGAAGTGTAAATGTTGACCATTTGTCTTACTGTGTTCACAGTTTTATTCCTGAGAATGAGAATAGACATGGAACAAAATCCCACTAACAAAGCCACTGATAATGAGAGTGTAATACAACAGAGAGATTTATTAGTTTAAGAATATGGCTCAATATAAGCAAATATGCAAACATATTTGTGAACAGATTAGAATAGTTTTAAACTATAGTGATAGTAAAAGTAAAGTACACAATCTAACATTAAATAGTGAAAATAATACAGTGAAATAAGTGAAGTGTATACAATTAGCATTAGAATAAAAGTATAGAGTAATAAAAGTGAAATTAGCTTCAAATTTGAGACTCAGCTCGTTTTTGTCTGTGTTTTGACTGAATCTGCTGAGTTCTTGTGTGTCCAATAGTGTGTTTGTTTGTTTTTATTTTTGATTTGTTTTTGTTTTTTGTTTGTTTATTTACTTTATTTTTGTTTGTTTATTTTTCCCAGGATGGAGGATAAAATCCACTGATATTGATTTGATGATTATGAGTTTAATGCATACATTTTCTTTGTTTTTTAATAATTTTGTAAAGTTTTTTTTTAGAATTTTTTTCTTTTTCCACTTTATTGATTGATCGATTTGAGTGATCACATGTGATTATGTGATCAAAGGGGAGGGTATTAGTATTAGATAGCAATATGGCCTACGTGCAGGACTGTACAAGGACTCTACAAGGACTCCATGTTATGACTATGATGTGACTGTCTCTTTGTGACACGTATGTCTTTCGATGTGTGACGTGACAATGACTATATAAACTGTGTACTGCCTTTATTCTGTCTGAGAGAAAGAAACAGAGTAAACCAGTGGAACTTGAGAGAAACTTAAATAAACTTCCAGAGTTTGGCACACCACGATCCGTCTCTGTCTGCTGAATCCTAACACAACACCAAACAGTACTACAGTATTAATTAAACTACTACTTTGAACTTCAAAAGGTATAAAGGAGGATTTTTCTACTTCCGGATGGATCATCCAGACTATTGGTCCTCCCAATTGTCAATCATTCTGGTGATACGTGACCAGAGAGTTTTGTTCAAAAAGGGGAGAGGGCGGTTCTTTCCTAAAATACTACTTTAACCTGAGCCTCAACCGTATATTGTTCAGATCTAAATGATTCACATACATGACAATTTCTTGGAGTAAAAAGTAATGTCTGCAGGGATGGTAAATACAACACGACATAGTAATGAAGCAGCACAAATAATTAGTTTTTAGGCTATAACCATTAAGCTAGTTCAGTTTACACATGAGGTAAATCTAGCAGCTCATATAAAATAATGCCAGGTATACGATATTTACGCTGCTGTGATCAATAACACATTACGGATCCTCATGGAATATTTTGTAATAAAACAATAGTTAAAGTAGTGTTTACCTGACTCCCAACGAGCTTTGAGCGTTTTTGGAGAAGATGATTGAGATTCGTTTGAGCTGACACACATATCGACCCACTCCGTTTTGAAGGACGCTTTTGAGAAAACGACTCGGTGTCCCTCTTGAAGTCATAATTATGCATAAAGTAAAACACTATTACACTACGTTCAAAGCAAATAAATACGACTTTATGAGGAGATTTTCGTAGAGGACAAACAGAATCGCAGCATGACCATCTTTGTGCGCAGGCTAAATGTGTCCGGAAAAACATGCTCTTGAATATTATAAATTAAAACTTTTTCATTTGATTACCAGTAATGAATAAGAATCGTTTTATGTTATATGAATAATGTTGGTGATAATATCCTTTATTATTGGACTACACGTATTTGATTGGCCTTTCTGTCAGCGGAATCTTTGTGTGAGGGTCCGCACGAACTTGTTTTGATGTGACACCGAAAACCCGGGTAAGGCAGAAAGCATGGAGGAGAGGACATCCGAGAAACTAGCGGGTAATGTTAATATTTCTTGATGTTTAGCTTCTTAATACGTCCGCCTATGCTTATTACCTGTATGTTATTATATTCACAATATTTCTGCATTCACATGTATCCAATGTATGAAGTACAAGTGAATGCACGATGGAATTTGACTGTTCAAATACATCTACAGAGATTTTGATAGCTAATATTTTCACCATATTATGTCATTATGTTTTAATAATATGCTGTTTTTGTTTGCCTTCCATTTAGGCTCCATGTCTTGAAGGACAGAGCCAGCATGTGGAGGAGCTTGCTTCTCAGGGGGTCTGCCTGTCTTTTGCAGGTCGGAGCCCCTAAATTGCCTCATCAAAGCCTTCTGCACTTAAGACATTTCACCCACAAACCTACTTTCAAGCCTGTCCCTGTTTTGTGTTCGCTGCCACACAGTCTCTCTCCCAACTTAAGGATTAGTAGGACCTATAAAAAGGATGCCAAATCTAGTGGTGAATTCCAAATAAATCCTATAACTGTAACTGATATAAAACAATACCTCAAATCCAAAGAAATCAATTTACACGATGGCTACAGCTGTCTGCACATCCCAAGCATTTTTGTGGACCCTACTGCAAGGAAAGACAGTTTTTCCTTATTCATCGACAAAACTACTGGTAGGTTTTTATGCACGGACACGTTGGTGGAGGGAAGCTGGGAGGACCTCCAGGATTGTCTTGAGGTGATGCAGAAAGACGGCCAGGATGCCCTCAGCCCCTCGGTGCTGCTGGGATATCCTGAGAGCGAAGAGGAGCAAGAGGAAAGAGACAGAGAGTTACAGGAGGTGCAGAGGATCTGGTCCAGTTCAGTCCCGCTCACAGATGTCACTGATGAGGAGGCTCTGCTGATTAAAACTATGTTTCAGGTATGGATGTCAAAATGTTACATTTATAGTTTTTAATTTAATATTTCTTGACTGGTTAATAATAATTCTTTAATTATGTAACTCTATGCATGTCACATAGACAGAAAAAATAACCTATGTGACTGAAATATAAATATATGAAATATAAACATTTTGTAAGTCTGAGACCAGCCCTCTAAATGATATGTTTTTATTCTAATTTTCTTTTTGGTTATGGACGATGAATAGAAATATCATAATTTAATGTCTATATTTTGGTCCTGACAATTTTTTAGATTAGATGTTTGTTGTCCTTTATAATCATTAACACTAACCCTGTCGACAAACCGAGTAATCTTGATGTCTCTAGTTGTCTGTTGACTAAAACACATTAGTTTGATGCACTAGCTATCTATGTTTATATTTAATTGGTATTGGCAATAGTAAATTGAACTTAGTGTGTTAGCTTGGTGTCATTTGATTATTAAAACAATGTTTACTATACGTTTTAATTTCAGATATCAAAAATTAGCAATGCAACCTTAAAAAAGTTTGGAGTGCGAATTTTCAAGCCGACCAAAAGCCTAGTGTTCCCCTGGTTTGGAGGACCCGACTGCTCTTTGAAAGGTGTGAAGCTGATATCTGCCCAAATCGCTGACAACGACAAAGTATCCTACAACGAAGCGACAGTTCCCAGGATAAGTGCCTATTATAACTTATTTGGCCTTTCTCTGGTGGGACGTATGGACACAGAGGTGGTTTTGACTGGAAGTGAACTTGATACGTTAGCTGTGAGCCAGGCTACAGGACTGCCTTGCGTCAGTTTACCACGCGGTGTCAGCTGCCTGCCGCCGATCCTACTCCCGTATTTGGAGCAATTCAAAAAAGTCACATTTTGGTTGGGAGCCGATATACGCTCCTGGGAATCGTCAAAAATATTTTCAAGGAAACTAGGCCTAAAGCGATGCTCGTTGGTGAGACCGGGAGAGTTCAGACCTTGTCCTGTGGAAGCTCTGGCGGAGGGGAAGAACCTATCCCGAATCATAAACACCTCCATCCCCGCGGCACACAAGTCTATCGTTTCGTTCAAGCAGCTGAGAGAGGATGTGTACGGGGAACTACTGAACAAAGAGCAAGTGGCAGGCGTCAAGTGGACAAGGTTCCTAGAGCTCAACAGGATCCTCAAGGGACATCGCAAAGGAGAGCTGACAGTCTTTACAGGTACAATGTTTTATAGCACAAAATATGTCATAACAAGACTGGAAAGGATTTAAAAATGTGCACTTCTTCTGGTATTTCTCAAGTCTATCATTAATGCGAAGAATGACAGGGTTGACAATCTACAGCTAGAGAAAACTCCCACCCAACAAAATGGCTATGATTTAGAGAATGGCTATGATTTAGAGAATTAGTGCAAGATCCAGTTATTCATATTTGTATATTTTACCTACGTTTTCTTCTATTCTTTTTTTATTGTTTAAAAATACTAATATATTGTTAAAGGTGGGGTATGTAACCTTCAAACCACATTACATTTAGCTGTCATACAATTCTATTAGGGACTAGGGCGTTCTTCAGGGCATGTTAAAGGCTCTGGTTCCTGTCCCTGTTCATTAAAGGACTTGTGTTTACTGTCATGAGTGCCCTGGATTTCATTTTGTATTTGTTATAAAAGGTAATTTTGCGTCTGCTTGTGTTTGCTTTATAGTTACGATTAACACACACGTTGCCGGCGTAGATCATAATTAAAGTTCATATTATATTTATATTATGCCACTTTATTGGCCCTTAAGTTAGAATAATTTCTTAAGAATATTGACCAATGTATTTGACTTGTTGATCCTACATTTTGTTGATTTGTTGATGTTTTATTGCAGGTCCGACTGGGAGCGGAAAGACCACGTTCATAAGCGAGCTGGCCTTGGACCTCTGCATGCAGGGAGTCAACACTTTGTGGGGAAGCTTTGAGATCAACAACGTGCGTTTGGCCAAAATCATGCTCACGCAGTTCGCCATGCAGAGACTGGAGGACAATCTGGAGCAGTACGACTACTGGGCCGATAAGTTCGAGGAGCTGGCTCTGTATTTCATGACTTTTCATGGTCAGCAAAACATCAAGTAAGTTGGCAAGATACTTATGACTAGGGAAGCATTAATATAGATTCTGTCACACTGATTAAGCGGATATCCAGAGTACGCCTGTGAATTGTTGTAAGTGATAAGACAATTTACTGGTGGGTGTTGTTCTAGAATTAAAGCTGGGGGACCTAACTTTTTTCTCAATTGAAAGAGTCCTGTAAAAGTAAAATCAGAATACAACATGCTGTCCTCATCTTTTACATTCTTGTTCGATGAGCCCTTTGATCGGAGAGTGTGGTCCTCTTATATCACTTTTCTTAAATACATGAATGTGGAAACTAGTGATTGCACCAAACTGTTCTGAGAGAAAGAACCAATTCCTATTATCTTGATTTGTACCCCTAAATAATAATAATTTTAAACATTTGGATCCACTTTGTAATATGTAAGTTGTACTCCGGTTTCCCCTACCACTAAAAATATGTCCAATAGGTCTGGCATGCGCTTCCTGTACTGGCGACCCCGCTCCCATCTCTGTGTGGAGTGAGAGACATATGCCCAACATTAACAATTGTAAACCGCTTTGAGACTCAGATCTGCAGTGAAAAGGCGGTATATAAATAAAAACTTACTTACTTACTACTTACTAGAAGATGGATATTTTCTCAGTCCCTTCACTGGTATAACTGTATATCCAGTAGCGGCAGATATTAAAAGCCAAAGTATCAAGATGTATCTAATAAATGGTTTTCTGGTGTTCCTTAGGACTGTTCTGGACACAATGCAGCACGCGGTGTATCTCTACGACATCAACCATGTTATTATTGACAATCTGCAGTTCATGATGGGGCAGGAAAACCTCACAGTGGACAAGTAAATGGAAGCCATTATCACACATCATTATTGACCCCACTTTGTCGTTTGACGTTTGGAATGCTCTGTAGGTTTGCGGTACAGGACCACATCATCGCAGCCTTCAGGAAGTTTGCCACCAACAGCAGCTGCCACGTCACGCTGATCATTCACCCCAGGAAAGAGGAGGACGATCGAGAGCTTCAAACGGCCTCCATCTTTGGTTCTGCGAAGGTACTAGATTGGGAAAGGAAAATGTGATTCTCAATCCTATGTCTGTCTGGGTTTTGACATAAATCAGAAATAATAAACCTCACAATTGAGAAAGTTTGAGTAATACCAGCTCACAGACAGTTTTGATTGACAGTGCTTGCTCTGAAAAACTTTGCAGACAACACAAACACAATTATCTATAATTCACTGAAGGAAATGAAACGGTTCAGCTGCAGACATTGTCTGAAGCCAATTTTGATTTTTTTCCCCAATAAACTTGATCTAAAATGTTAATTATTACAAAACAGTATGTACAATGCATAGTGTAATATACAATTCCCCCAAGTTTTTATTGAAATCTTTCTTTGCTATAACCCAATCAAATTAATTAAAGAGAAAATGTATTTCATAAACCATTTGCATTCTAAAATCATCCATCTTCTTTACTCATGTATTCTTCGCAAAAGTAACTGCTAGATTAAGTGATTGGCATTGATTAGTTTGAGACCTGATCTGCATATACTGTATTTAAGCTCGTCTTAGTTTACATTTTTGCTGAACCACGGATTTGTGCTTTTGTTTGGGTTAGTTTCAGAGTGTGACACTGTACTGACTTTTGCAAGAGTAAAGAAGTCTTCACACATGTTCTAGTTCACTTAAACTGGGCCAGGTCTGGTTCGGTTAAAGTGAACTAAAAGCCAGGTCACAGATCACTTTCAAAAAATGTAAACTGACTAAGTGACTAGTGGACACACATTCACCTCCCAAAATCTCTCTCCACGTTAAAGAGAATTGGTCCAGTTAAAGTGAACCAGACCAACTTTAGTCCCTCTTTGGTCCGGTCAGTTCTACGCTGTCTGTGTTTTCTGTGAACTGCACAGATGTTGTCTTTCTGCCAGTGATCTGAACACATCATGCGTATTGTCCTTTAACAGTAAGACTGGCTGCTCTTCTCTGCAGGCGTCTCAAGAAGCCGACAACGTGCTGATTTTGCAGGAGAAGAAGCTGGTGACCTGCCCCGGCCGCCGATCTCTCCAGGTCACCAAGAACCGCTTCGATGGAGACGTTGGCATCTTCCCCCTGGACTTCATCAAATCCTCTCTCACTTTCACTGCCCCCGTTAAAGGTAAGCACAAGTTCAAAAAGCCGACAAAGACTGAATCTGAAGATCCCCCGGGACCTGACGCTGCAGCAAAGAAGGACGAGGTCAAAAAGGAAAAAGTGTCAAAAACAACAAAGACTAAGGCAGCGTCAGCAAGTGATACCAACCAGAAATGAAATGAACCTTTTTATTCAGAGTCTCACCCGGCAGACTTTCTCCCCGACTGTTTCAAAACCACTGAACACATTGTACATAGATCATATGTAACGTGATGTGCCTTTTGTATGAGCTGCTGTCTTCTGACCTAAAGAACTGACAAAATCTGTCTAATCTGTCCCATATCATGTCATTGTGGCCGTACCTGCATGTGAAAACCAGAGTCAGATCTCAGAAGTTAAGCAGGGCAGGACTCTGTTAGCCCTGCGATGGGAGACCTCTGGTAATATGCTACTCTGCCGTTGTGTCTTCAGGCAAGTCACTTCACCCACATTGCCTAGAACAAGTCTGGTGTGTGCGTGAATGGTTGACAGTCTACCACCAGTATACGGAGGGAATGAATAAGTGAAGCATCTTTTGAGTCCATCCATGAAACGGATGCGTTAATATTCATGTGTTTTGACAAATGTAATCTGTTATCCTTCTATGTCATCTTTTTTTGTCACAAATGTAATTCACCCCTTTATCCATTGTTTCATATTATGCATGTCTGAGTTATAAATGAAGTTCTAAATCCAAAAACAACTGTATTAATGAGTAATAAGCTACTGCTGCATACCTACATCATGTTAAATGTACAGATGCAGAATTCATGATTTCAGCTTGAACAGTGTTTTGATATTCACATCATGTTCCGTTAAGTTCTGGTAATTTCATATAATGTGCTTTCTACTGACTCTTTACAATACCTCTTGTATTAAAATACTGTACAAAAAATGCAGATATATTTGTGTTTTTATTTGTGGTCTATAGAGGGCAGTGTCAACTCAAGTTAAAGCAGTTTTGACGTCCATAGAAATGTTTTTCATGTAGTTCTAATAAACACACAACATTAAAATCCCTTTGGAAACTTAACAAAATAAGGCTGGTATTAAAAATAAGCCCAAAAAATAGGGCACATTATTTTATATTAACTTGTAAGAACCTTTGATATTTATTTCTGCAACTTTGAACAAGAAGTCAGTACAGCCATTGTTTATCCATAATGGAACAAAATGTAATTAAATTATCTGTTTCATACACAATTTCCCCCAGAAAGCATACGTTTTTTTATTTACTGCTTCTAGACTGCACCCTATACACACCTATAATTGGTTTTGTCAGCTGTATAACATTACATTATACATAATTTAGTACAAGTGACGTTTAATAAAAGCAAACCCTCTTCTAAGCACAACCTGAATGTTTGATGAGCCATTGTCTTGTGGTGTGACATCACAAGCTGCCTCAACCGCCTCCAGACAGAGCAACATTATCCCAGACAATCACATTCATGTTTAAGTGCTTTATTGAATCGCTGTTTGTGTTTCAGTAAAAGAATAAACACCAGGAGATGTATAATTAGGGCCTGTGGTGGCAGATAGGTCGAGTGTCTTTATTGGTATTATTTTACTGTTTGGGAAGTCATAAAGAGATTTTATTGGACAGGGCTGTAAAAAAACATATCAAACTTTCCCAGGAAATTTTTTTATCGGAATTTGAATATTTACATTTCATTGCTTGTAAATTACAATCTGTAGCAGACCTACTCAACTTCTGGTCTGTGGGCAAAATCGGGTCCTGCCAACCATTTATAAAACTAAACTCAACATTTTGACTTGAATTGTACATAATAAAAAAAAAAATCTCAAAATTGCTCACAGTTTCAAAACTCGTTTGAGCTTTTGGACCACATAGCTAATTTCTAATGCAAGTTCAGATCACAAAATTATACTATATGATGTGCATTCCTCAAAATCTGGGAAAAGGATATTACATACCCCTGTACTATAGTATCGTTCAAGTAGTATTATTCTGACTCCATGACTTACAATCATCGAAATAAATGTACCACAATGGTTGATAGCTCCACGTGGAGCCATTATTTTAAACTTCATTAGTTTTGTTTGAATTATTCAGAAGCTTTTGGCACAAAAGCTTTCAGTTCTGTTCATCTGGTCGGAAAGTGCAGCTCAACTTTGTTTTCCATTAGGTATAAACAGCTCAATGTATGGATTTATAATGTTTTAATCAGAATCAAAGGTTTCTGTGTTGTCCTTCACAGCGGTTCAGATTGTATATAATTCTGCCAATGAAATCCATTGATGCTTGAAAGACTCAGGTTTATTTCCAGACTTGATTAGATCATGTCTGACGAAGGGCCTCTGCCCGAAACGTAACGTTTTTTGGTGTGTAAATAAAATACACAGATTGGGAGCTACATAGCTGTGCGGATTTTTTTCACTGTTTTTACGTCTTACATTTTTTAAATCCAGCACGCTAGCTCAAACTACAGGGATGTGCGGCCTTATTTGAAACCTCCAGACTTGATTCGTTACATAAGTTTAGATAAAGCCGGTGATGTAGCCAAGATGTCTGATGATCAAAAGTTCATCAGTGTGTGAGACGCAAACTGGAGTGTGTGTGTGTGTGTGTGTGTCTGTGTGTGTGTGCAATCTTTACTTTTGGCCTTGTATGTTTTAGAATGTGAAAATATTTCTTGCCAAGAGGCGTATAGGAGATGACAAGAATACCCTCATAGAAGCGGGAAATTACATTCTGCTCGAGTTAGATCTAAATCTAACATTGCACAGTCTACTTGTAAAGAAACTATTTATTGGAGAAAGTCCCCAAACAAATAGATATTCATTTTGTCAAATGTTTTTGATGTTATAAATGTTTCCTGTCCTTCATTGTATAATTATGATATATTTGAATATACAAAAAATGTATTTATATATTATTGATAAGCATACAGTTTGTTTATATTCAATGTATTACAGTTATGGTGTTCCTTAAACACCTTAACTGTAATACACTGAGCATGTTTTAGTGCTTCCAGCTGCTGTGTGCTGTGTGTTGCAACAGTGAAATTTCCTCATCACAACACATTCAATTTAAAAGTATAAAAATCATACAACTTTGGGACTCACATTGCTAAAATCTAACTAGTGCCCATAGCATCAGTCTCTGCTCTGATTCAATATGCCCTGTGTAAAGAGAAGCCCACCCCTCCTCCTCTTCCTCCCTCCCTCTTTTTCCTCCCCCCTCCTCTTCCTCCCCCCTCCTCTTCCTCACTCCCTCACATGGTTTGTGCACGTTTGACCCAAATAACCCAACTCTGCTGCTCTGTGTATATTATACCAGAATAGAGCATCTTTCCCATGGTGCCGCAGTCTGAAGGAGAGGGCCGTACACTTTCTCGTTATCTGAAGCTGGAACAAAACACTGGTCATTTTGCATCACATTGTTAATATACTAACTGTAGATTTACTTTTACCGGGAGGGAACCGTCCCAAAGAGTTTTAGCACAAGAAGTCTGTGATGGCTTCATGAGACGCATTCTTGGATGATGTGTTTGTTTACGGCCTGGTTAAGGCTGCTCAAAGGAAAGGGAAAAAACACACTCCTTTCCAGCATTTATAAATCAACTTTTAATCTATTTTTAGGCATTCAGATCTCTTATTCATTTTTTTAAAATCAACAAAACACTGCACAAGCTTTGCATTAGAACTGACATTGCAAATTAGCTTTGGCTATAAATGTTGTAGTGTTTCACATGTTGATTGTGTGCACTTGTCCCTATCAAATAAATAAATAAATAAATAATTATATGACTAAGTGTGTTGTTTAACTATGGATGTTCTCAAGCCATGTCATATCTAATCTTTAGGTTTTGAATTAAACTACAATGGGATCAATATGAGACAAAACAGATTACTACCATATTCAACCATACTGCCCCACTTCTCAAATGTTACTATTCCAAAGCCACTAAGCCGCTCATAAGCGACTTGTTGAGAGGTGACAGGCATCATGAGACCTGGCACTGGATCAACTATGTCTTACCTTTGCATTTTTCAGATAAAAGGAGTGTTTCAATATCAAGTTTACTGAAATACCAAGAAAAATATATCCAAAATCCCTGATTTAATTATACAGTATATGTCAATGAAAATTAAGCATACAGATTCGTAGTTATAGCTATATCCTCATTGTAATATTACATTCCAAACATATATGGTCTAATTTGCAATTTATTTAACACAAAAATCGCCTTAATTAGATGAAAACTATAAGTGTAAGTCTTGCTGACATTTTTGTTGTTGTTATCTTGTATTTATCTTGCCTTATTTATTGTTCTTTGCATCCAAATAAAGGCCCACAGCCAACACAAACTAGCCATTGAGGTGATTTCATAGTGTCATCTAGCCAGCTTCAGCTCCACCGTTATAGTCAGGTTTGTTGTAGAACCTCTGGTTTGTCCAACAGGTTTGTCAGCTCCACCGTTATAGTCAGGTTTGTTGTAGAACCTCTGGCATTGATCTATTATTTATATATTCTGACCTTATAGATCCATGATTCTGACATTTGCTTTTGAATGTGTCTCAAAATGGCACCAGTGTAGCTGTGATGTGAATCTATACCAACCTACCATACCCAATTTTAAAGTTCAAAAGAGCTCTAAAAGCAGTTTTAGAATGTATGCTCTTGGCATGTGGTGAACTTTTATTCGTCCCACAGTGGGGTAGTTCTCAATGTTGCTGGACAGTAGTAAGAGCACACAGGGAGCACACAAATTATACAATAGAAGTAGCTGCTCTGCTTCTTAGCTAGCTGTAAAAGAGCTCTCTTACCCTCTTACTTAAAGAGTTTTGACAGCCCTGGCCAAAAAACATGTAGATATAAGTTTTGATATTCCATGTTTTGTGTCTGTCGTCGCAAATGCAATATTTTTTCAAGCATAAATGGGAAAGTTTGATATGACGTTTATCAGCCTAAAATTGTTCAGTCTATGATATGTGACCTTAAAGACGGATGTATATCACAATTAGCAGTGTAAGTCCGTGAGAAGAAGCCATTTGGTTCTCAGTAATGTTCTGTTGAAAATGATCATTGCTGGGATTTTTGTACACAATTGATGAGCAAATGTTGAATGCAGCTCTCCTGGTGCACACTCAGGGCCTCATTCCTCTTATTG